GGGCTCTCTTGGGCCTCTCTTGGGGCCCTCTTGGGCCATCTTGGAGCCATCTTCTTGGGGGCCTCCTTGGGAAGCTCTTTGGCCTGTTGGAACGGTCATGGCGATCTTGGGGCCTCTTGGAGCATCTTCGAAGCCATCGTGCGTGAGGCATCTTAGGCTATCTTGAGGCATCTTGGAGGTCATTGTTGGGTTCCCTGAGTCTCTCTTGGGGCCGTCTTGGGCCATCTTGGACGCTCCAACTACCAGCGGCACCGCCCGTCCAGGTCCAGGGGAGGGGGTCGGGGGAAGGGGTAAACCCCTCCCCGAAGGGGAAGAGGGAAGATGGAAGAAGAAATGCCCTTAACCACCTACGCCCTGAAGGGCTGGTGGGATTATGGGATTAGCCTTGGCGTATACCCACTGGGACGCAGCCGTGGACAGCATATCTGATGGCATAATACATCGTTCGATCCTTCACAGCTGAGCATCCAATCCTCGTACGTTTGTCCCCGCTTGCTCCTCCCTTTCCTCCTCGTTTCTCCCCGCGTGCTCCTCGTCATCGAAACCGCCACCGTCGTTGTTCAGCGACAGCGAGGAGTAGGAGGGAACGCAATGACGAGGGCGCTCTTGGGAGCCTTAGGAGCGGGAGGAGGAGGACGAGGAGAAGGATGAGGAACAAGAAGCATGACGAACATAAGAGCCTCGTAGGATGTCTGTCGGGAGTTGTTTTGGAGGCCTCTTGGTGCGTCTGGGGGGCATCTTGGGGAGGAGGAGGAGGAGGAGGAGGAGGAGAAGGGCGAGCAAAACTGCCAGCGGTCTCTTGATTGCCTTTCGGAGCCTCTTGGGATATCTCTTGGGCGCTTCTTGAAGGCATCTTGGGACGTCTGGGGGGTCTCTTGGCGATCCTGGGGGGCTCTTCGGCGTCTTGAGTGCGTCCGGGGGGGGGGGCCTCTTGGGGCCGCTTGGGGCCCTCTTGGGGGCCTCTTGGAGGCCTCTTGGGGCCATCTTGGCGCCTTTGGGGGCCTCCTGGGCGCCCTTTGGGGCCATCTTGGAAGCGATCGATCAAAGAAGGTGGGTTCCCTAATTAACCCTGCCCCTCGTGAGCTCCCAAAATAGCCGCCTGGACCCCTCTTGGGGCGCTCTTGGAGCGCTCTTGGGCGCTCTTGGGGCCGTCTTGGGGCCCTCTTGGGCCCCTCTTGGGGCCTCCTTGGCCCCTCTTGGAGCCATGTTGAGGCCTCAGATGGCCATCGGAAGCGAAAAGGCGAGAAGCCGAACATCATTAGTTTTCCTTAGGTTTTTGAAGGATTTTGGCTTCTTGGGGGGCCCCATTGGGGAGATAATTGGCCTCTTGGAGCTGTCTTGGAGCGTTGTGAGAGCGTCTTGGAGCATCTTCGGAGCCATCTTGCGGCATCTTAGGCTATCTTGAGCCATCTTGGAAGTCACCTTGGACTATCCGAGGCGCTCATGGAGCCATCCTGGGCCATCTTAGACACTCTGACCGCTCGCGACCGGGCCCGTCTAGGTCCAGGGGAGGGGGTTAGGGGGAGGGGTAAACCCCTCCCCGAAGGGGAAGAAGGGAAGATGGAAGAGGAAACTCCCTAAACACTACCGCCAAGGGCTGGGTGGGTTTGGCAATCGTAAATCGTATAGAAACAGGTTTGAAGTACTACTAGCACTAGTAGTATAGTAAGTAGTATAGTATAGTATAGTAGTAGTAGTAGTAGTAGTAGTATAAAAGTAGTTGTATAATATAGTAGTATAGTAGTAGTAGTAGTAGGAGTAGGCGTAGGAGTAGGAGTAGGAGTAGGAGTAGGAGTAGGAGTAGGAGTAGGAGTAGAGTAGGAGTAGGAGTAGGAGTCAAGCTAGCCAGCTCGAGCGAGTCAAGCATGGCATGCCCAGTCCCACCCGCCCTCCCACAACATAAGAAGCAAAGCTGGCACAACTGGGGGCCGAAGTCACACCGGCCAGCCGGTTTGGTACAGCTGATGCGGCCGCGATGGCGGTTGCCGTCGGGAACTGGCGAGCGCGTGTTGAATGCCGCGCACGCATTGCCAGACGAGTCGAGAATGGCCTGGTACACCGCAGGAAGCCAGAGGTGGCCGGAGGAAACCCGACGGTCTGACAGGACACCCCAAAGCATTTTTGTGAAAAAGCATTGGGTTTTTGATGTTTTTTATGTTGAAATGCTTGCAAACACACGGTGTTCGGTAGGATTCTGACATGAACGCGCGAGTGTGCTCTTTGTGGTTTTTTTTGCACCGGATTCGCGGCCTGGGTGCATGACAGAGCATCGCGAGTGCACCGCGCGATGACGTGAAATCGCTGGATTTGACCGAATTCTTAAGATTCCTATGGTTTTCCTATGATTTCAGCAAGAGAGCCCGGGCGGGAAATTTGTACAAATTTTGTGAAAAAGCATTGGGTTTTTGATGTTTTTATGTTGAAACGCTTGCAAACACACGGTGTTCGGTAGGATTCTGACATGAACGCGCGCGTGTGCTCTTTGTGGTATTTTTTGCAATGGATTATCGCCGTGGACGACAGGACGTCCATGTCGAGAGGAAAAATAAGAAAAATGTTGATTTTGTATTGTTTTTTACAGGTTAGGATGGGACCCCCCGGATGCGGCCCCCAATGGCCGGCCTGAGGGGGGAGTAGGAGTATATTCTAATAAGGAATAAGGATAGGAGTAGTAGTAGGGGTAGGAGTCAAGCTAGCCAGCTCGAGCGAGTCAAGCATGGCATGCCCAGTCCCGCCCGCCCTCCCACAACATAAGAAGCAAAGCTGGCACAACTGGGGGCCGAAGTCACAACGGCCAGCCGGTTTGGTACAGCTGATGCGGCCGCGATGGCGGTTGCCGACGGGAACTGGCGAGCGCGTGTTGAATGCCGCGCACGCATTGCCAGACGAGTCGAGAATGGCCCGGTACACCGCAGGAAGCCAGAGGTGGCCGGAGGAAGCCCGACGGTCTGACAGGACACCCCCAAGCATTTTTGTGAAAAAGCATTGGGGTTTTGATGTTTTTATGTTGAAATGCCTTTTTTTTTTTTTTTTTTATTTTTTTTTGCAGACACTCGGTGTTGTTCGGTAGGATTCTGAC